CCCCGCCCCCCGTAGACAATATATTGGCTCACTCACAGGAACTTCACTGGGAAACCTAACCGCTCGAACCTACAACCCTAATCTGGCATCTCAGAGAGTTTGTTGTTCCCCGCATCCAAAAAACATTGAAAAGGAACGTGATTTGATATGCCTTAAGGATGTGAAAACTGCCCTTCTGGAGTAGGGTAAATTCAAAAGTGCAGCATTCTTCTAGGTCAGAGAGATAGAAACTTCATTCCTAGCAGTCTGCGAACCTTGATGGAGGACACATCCAGAAATGATGTCTTAGCATTTGATTGTCTTGTTTCCTAAAGACTCCTGTGCTTTTGTAGCATCTGCCCACTGGGTGCTGCTCATCCTTCCTAGTGAATTTCCATTCTCCACTAAGGACAGAGAAATGACATTGCTTATCATTTTTGGAGAAATTGGCTACAGTCTTCAAACTGTGAGAATCACTGTGTATGATGGATTAATTAAATGACTAAAAATAGATTAAACTATTAAGTCCTTTAATTGAGATATCAATACAGTTGATATACATGGAAAATTTGCTTTGTTCCTTTATTAAGAATCAGCCAGTGGCTGTGCTGTTACAACTCTGGAGACTTTGCTACTAAATGTTTTTAAAAAGTCAGTTGACTCTGTATTGAGACTGATTTCTATTTTTCTCTCTTTCAGAAAACCACGAACATTTTAAAAATGCAGAGATCCAAATTAGTCATGTTCAATGTAAGGTTGATTTTAGAAATTCTTTATTTATTTTTACATGGTCTATGTTTGTTGATTCATAAATTCAGCCTTATGTAAATGCTTTTAATTAATTCAAAGCCACAAATTCCTGCCGCCTTTTCTTCATTTTTAACTGCAATTTAAATAGCTACTCACAACTCTGTAATTTTGGTAAACCAGATGAAAGCTCTTTCTTAGAGAAAGCCATCAGCTAGGGCTCTTAGATAGAAAAGAATGGGAATCATAGACAAGTACTTACTCTCTGAATAGTCCATAATGGTTTTAGTTGAGTAATTGGCCCTGAATTTCCTCGGAGTTTGATAGATGGAAAAGA